CAAGAAGAACGAAAAATAAAAACCATTAAACGAACATTACCACCAACTTATGATGAACCAAGAAAGAAACGAAAATTCGAAGACAGGTAAGGGAAAGCAGTTTAACGTAAAGCTTTCACCAAGGTCTCGCGGCTTGTCAACGAAATATTGTTCGTGATAAAAGACTGCTTAAGCGCAATTGTTGAGCTTTTATTCACATTTGAAACCAAAGAGTCAAAATTACACAACAAATTTCAATATTTGTAAGCATAATTTTAATATAAATAGTAATAATAGCACCAGAGTGATTGCATGGGAGGAAAATACTCGGACCCAAAGCCATTGATGAGTATAACCTATTCTTTAGTCACTCTGGTGCAAATTTAAATTTCATTTTCCCCATCTAAGTGGTTTATGTTTTCCTTCCTTTCTTTGCCAATCCAACGTTGAATTGCCTCAATAGCCTTTCTCCGTGGAGTTGTTCGTTGAAGGTAAAAATTTCTTATTGTAGACGTAGCAATGACCTTTTGTTCGTCGAGCAACTTATGAATTTCAAACGCCATTTTGTTAAATGAAAATTTTGGATCCAATTTAATTCTTTCATTCGTATAATCGTTTTTCAGATCGTTCCACAATTTTTCGATTTCTGGCAAGTAAATTTTGTTTGCCGCTGACAGTTTTGTTATGGATTTCAAATTCGTCGATTGAATTAGGGCTCCCGTATTATTAAGCCGACCGTTACAGATTATGCCATTTAGCAATCGGCCGAGAACGAAGCCAATAAATACTCCAAAAAAGAATTCGCTTGTGAATGTGAGCATTTTTCGTAGTGTTGTTGGTGGAAATTGACAGATTTGTTTTATTGCTTTAACGATATTTATTGCGTTGTGGTTGATTTCTGAAGTTAACCAGTGCTGCTTTTATAATAAAATATCCGTTTGTTCATCATACACTGCGGACAATTATTAGACAAACGTGAATTCCTGCGCATTGTAATTGATTATCATTGGTCAATTCTGCATAATAGTTACAATACTTTATTTGATCAGCGCAAACACGTCAACTTTCCGTCTGCTTGAGAATAATGTCTGATCCCACAACTAGTATTGTTTACACAGAAATCGCCCGCCTCAACTTCACTACTGAGGAAAGAACCGCCCTGCGGTCTTTCTTTAGCAATCATAAGGAAACAAAGAACGAAGCGGAGGAAGTCCTTCCAACCTGTGCTACGGACGTTGAGAAAGTCGATTACCTTAAGACTTTCTTGACAGGTAACGACTTTGTGACTCGGGCGTTGGGGATAGAGTAGTGTGTACATAGGGTAGAGTAGACATAGTGAGGAGCGTAGAGTAAGAGCATAGCAAATGCTCATCCATTGATCTTT